TTAGCATGATATATGAATTAAAAAAACCCTCAAAATTAAATAAAGTGCWAGTGGTACCGATTAAAATTACCAACCTGCTGAAAATTGAGTCTGAGCCGTGTCTTTATTACTGAATCATTAAGCRATGTGTTTTGATCATTTTTCTTACATCTTTGAATATTGGAATATTCTCAACTATTTTGGCAGTTTTTTGCAATCGATGACATCATCTTTTGAGCCAAATTTTCTCGACTACTGTGAATCAGCTCCCAAGCAAAGCTTTTCTCCGTCAACTTCTAATATGTATAAATAAGGCATATGTTTGAATTACTAGAAGTTTCTAAATGAGTCAAATTAATAAGGACGGTAATTGAAATATATTATGCAAGCAAATATTTATTGAATTATAAATGAATAAAAAAMTGGAAATAAATGAACAACTGATAAATTTAGCAGGGAATTTGAGCACTGAATAAATAAGTAAAAACTGGATTTAATAAATTACTGAAAAATAAAAATTAAACCTTTAATTTAAAAAAAAAAACAACATTCAATTTGAACTTGTCTCTTTGTTTTTCTTTCATATTTTATATTTTTTCTATTTATTTTTCATGACAACATTCTTTCAATTAGATTCAAAGCATTCATAAACAAGAATCAAATAACAAACAGATTAAAATCATAATAATGATAATATCAAAGAAAAARCAAACAAAAAATCTCTTTTTCTGAGATTCAAAAAAGATCACTGAGCATATTTTTTCTATTTATTTTTCATGACAACATTCTTTCAATTAGATTCAAAGCATTCATAAACAAGAATCAAATAACAAACAGATGAAAACCATAATAATGATAATATCAAAGAAAAAAACAAACAAAAAATCTCTTTTTCTGAGATTCAAAAAAGATCACTGAGCATATAAATAAAATATGAGGCAACGCCCGACTAAAAAGATTAAAATGAAATTGAAACAAAATTCGCGTTACGCACTGCGTGACAAGGAGGAAAAAAATTTAATCCTTTCTTTAAACTTTTAGCTGTTTAGCAACCAAAAGTCAGCTATCACWTAAAATAATCTAAGTAATTGTCTCATTTTCGATCGATCTGTCGCGACCGACGAAGACTGAAGGAAGCAAGCTAGTAAACATGCCGCGTAAAGGTTGTGAAACATCAATTATTRAATAGCCCGGCTCCCAATGGGAAAGTCACATTTCGCCAGTTTGTCATGTTTTTCTATTAAAAATTTAAATGTGTGAATTGAAACTCATCTTGTTGGCGCGACACAGTTCCGTATACTTGGGTTTTCAGCGCAAAAAAACTATCATAGAACGCTGATTACTGATTAGCGCTCGATATATTAAAGCTTAACGAACATGCTGGGTTATAATCTAATTAAAAAAGCCCTCCATGGTTTTGGATAATAAATACAGCAGTATTTTATATAATATTTTAGAATTTTGMACCAAAAACTCAAGTAGAGGACTATTTGCTTTTCAGATATTTCTGCGGTTTTGTAGTTTGAATTTGAACGTTTAGCGCGAACTTTACAGTTCTGATCTGTTAACAGCAAAATGCATTTTTTATTTTGTCAAAAAAAGACATCATTCGGGTCTCAGATGTGGTCCTTTTTTGTTCATTAAAAAAAAAAACATTTTTAAGTACGCAAATTGTACAATTAAGTAAGATCAAGAGACAAGTCGGACGACAAAACAGTTTTTTTGAGAGACAAGACCTTTTTGAACTCGTCCATCAAAGAACGGGGTCTACTGTGGCATATTTCGAGAAAATGGATAAGTTTATTGAAATTAAAGTATCAGTTTGCAATGCATATAGTTTGCTATGACTACTAATAGAACAAATTTTGTAGTTTTGGCKAGTAGTATTTGACAATACCGCGCCATAACAAACAACAAGTGTAACGCCAAGTCGAGGCCGCACCTGGAACATGCGCAATGAGAGCAACTCGCTCCTTCGGCTTGGTTGTTTATGTATACAATTTGGTGAACAGCAACTGGAGATAAGGATTTCTTTCTTGCCAAAATCCGTTTCCATCCAAGTCGATTGAACATCGACGGCCGCSTTGCTTGTCTTGATATTTTTGTTAAGGTCTAGGGACAATGGCGGCAGAAGATGGAAAGCAATCGACGACTGAGAGAGCCCTCAAAAGTTAGTACAACCATCTRAAGTTGACAACGGTTGTGTTACCGGTCAAAGCTGTAGAGTTTGTTCCACAAACGATGTGTATTTTTGGCAAAGTATTAACGATAATTTTTTATTTTTAAACTCAAGATGTCCCTACGCCGCCTGTCCATCGTCTTACAATGTCAGAAGCTTTCGATTCTAACGGTAAACCTAGAGCAGATGTACTCAAGGCTCATTTTATTCTGGAAGGTAGAGTCGAAGAAGAAGTTGCCCTTCGAATTATAAATGGAGGAACCGAACTTTTACGAAAAGAGAAAAATATGTTAGAAGTAGATGCGCCTATCACAGGTAGCTAGAACTATAACCTTGCCTTTGTTATGAGTTTTGCGAGCGCTAGCTGAGAAGGCGCTCGCATTTGGGAGATGCTGTGTTGAGCTTTCTCAAAGCGTCTGTTTGTTCTTTTTATTTGCAGTTTGTGGTGACATTCATGGACAGTTCTACGACCTAGTAAAGCTGTTTGAAGTCGGAGGATCTCCTGCAAGTACTCGTTACTTGTTCCTTGGGGACTACGTCGATCGAGGATATTTCTCTATCGAGGTAATAGCTTATGAATGCATCGCTCGCCTAAAGTAAGGACTCAAATCGCCCTAATAAAAGCTAAGCATAGAATTATTTCCAATCCAGCACGCTAGGCTAAATCAGATAACGCGGGTTTTCATTCTCTGACAGATATAAGAGCTTTTTATATGGTCTGTTGGTTAATTTTAACGCGATGTTRTTTCTCGTAGTGTGTGCTGTATTTGTGGGCATTAAAGCTGTTATATAGTAACACATTGTTTCTCCTTCGCGGTAACCACGAATGTCGCCATCTTACAGAATATTTCACCTTTAAAACAGAATGTGAGTATGATCTTTCTTTATATATGTAAACATACAATCTCAGAAACTGGTTCATGCATTTCAGAAGGGTGCGACTTGTAGCTCTGGTCGCAAATCTATCACTCACTTGTCTAACACGAAATTCGCGCTTAAAAATATCAAAATTCAATTTTAAACGTACTTTTTAGGTGTACTTTTTATAAACCCTTCACTCTTCTTTAGAATTGTTTAAAATAGARTTCAAAATCCTACGCTAAGCACAGTTGTTGGCGTTTGAATAAATTATTAAAGTTTGTGCGAGATTTACATTTTCAGCCATTGCATACATTCTCGAATATTTAATGAGTACATGMATATTCAATCTTCGGTTTTTGGGGATAAAATTCCGTTAATCTAAAGCGATGACTTGTATTTCTTAATAAAAAATCATTATAGCGTGGTGAAAATTGAAATTATGTGTGGTTGTACGCCACCAAAATCTTCCTACTTCACCTTATATTTGAATGGCCCTGGGATCTGATAAACTCCTCACATATCATTCCCTTTCCTACCTTCCTAAAACGTCCATTTGTCAAAATGTAAGTACAAGCATACCAGCTTTCACTGATCGTCATTCATCTTAATTTGAAGTGTTATTTGGGTATTGTATAAAAAGAATGTCACAAAAATAATAATAATTTGTTATATAGAAATTTGGTGAATAGAGAGGAGTATGTTTTAATTTGTAGATTGTTACTTTTCATAAAGACTGCATTATGTTTAATTGCTTTATTTGGGGAAAGCATTCCATATTAAAAGAAAACCAGCACATTTTTCGTGTAAATACAGATGGACACAGGTTGTTTGCAAATTAGAACTTGGTGCTATCTATATTTGTCTTACAACACTTGACTCTTAGGATTAAGTCCACTCCACAAAAACATCTAACTATGAAGAATGAATCTCTTATCAATATTTTGCACTCTAAATGGCCTTTATCAAGTACAGCCTGTAGAAATGATAATCTTCTCTTCCTGACTTCAAAAAGGGCCTTTGTATTTTGTTAAACAATGCCAAAATAGCAGTTTTCTAATGCCTGAGTACAAATTACTGTTTTATTTCTGCTCCAGAGGAACAAAAATGTATACAAACAAAAAATACTGTACATAATGTAGAATGATAACTTTTCTTTTGTGACTTCAAATAAGAATTTCTAAGATGAAAGAAGGTAAATTCTCAGCAAGCATAGTTCAAGTGTCTTTGCTATGGATTATCTTTCCTAATTACAAAAAAGCTGAATTTGGACTAAAAAGTGTAAACAATGTCTGAATCATAGGCAAAAAATGCAGTTGATGTGAATTTGCTCATTTGACCAGAAARGTGAAGAAAAGTTAGACAAAAAAGCAATATCATAAAACCAGTGGAGTGTGATTTTTTCAAAAAAAGACATAACAGTTAAGTTGATTTCATTTGCATAACAAACTATATAACTTAGACCGTAAAATGCACAAAGAAATTTGGCTTTTCCTAATGGAACCTGTAGATTTATTTAAAAAACTACTTAGCAGTCAGTACACTTGATTATATTAGTCAACTATGCAATTCATTTCAGACTGCTATGTAGTTTTTTCATAAATCTATCTTTTCAATATGATAGACTTATTCATTTAAATTCTGCATGAATGAATGAAACGATATCTATCGATTGATTTTCTGGGAACTGAGAACATACTACACAATATATTCCTCCTGCATGTCTGCTATAGCTATATCTGAGAAAGTACTTTTGATGACCTCCACAAAAATATTTATTAAAGTAAACTCCTAGGCTAATTCAACTGTCTATAATTTCTCTTTAAATGACATTAATTTTAGTTCATTTTATATTTGGGCAAAAGTGGATGAAAGCCGCAGTGCAGTTAACTTCAATTTGTTTCGTACATGTTTGTATTAATGCTTAGAATTTACTGTTCATCCTMTTCTTTGAATTGCACATAATGCCTTTTAGAAGTCACTTTTATCAGAAAGGTAACATGCTGCCAAGCACCTGAATTGATTTTGAATTGTATTTTCTGGTAACAGTCATTTTAAAGTTGAAAATGAAAATGCAAAAACATTAGTTTTATTACTAGTTTTATTATCGTACTGCCAATCCTAGTAACATTGTTTAATTGTAAAGACAGCAAGAATGTTATCTACGTTTATCATATTTTTTAGTTTTTTTTTGCAAGAATATTCAACTTTAAAGTTGTTCTGAAATATTGAATTGCACACACTCAGCCGCACACAATTTTTGACCAGCGAGACCACACATGTTAATTTTAGGAAATAATGATAATCCGACCATTTGATGTGCTATAACTCCTAAACAAATGTGGATATCTATCTTTGTTTATTCCTTTATATTGCTCATATTAGGGATAACAAACATATATGAGTTCGAAAAGAATCTATAAGCTGGTTTTGAGATATCTAAGAATTTGTATTGATATTTTGTAATAATAGTGTGTATAATAACACAGATTGCATTGAGCTGCCTTTATTATCTTGAACTCAAAGTTGTTTTAAACATTTTTTTAAAATCTATTCAAAAATCTAAAAAATGTAAGGATGACACTAAACAACATTGTAGCACAAATATACAAAATGACCTCCATTGAAAGCTTTCTTTTTCGATTGCTAAAATTGAAGAATAGCTTGCACACACATTGAAATCAGGTGAACTTTTACGCCCTCTAGCGCAAAAAAACAGGATGGTGGCCCCCCTTATTTTATTTTATTTTTGTGGCATCCATCTCAAAGTTGATAAATTTTACATTTTTTTACAAATTACTATGCAAAAATTTCATTACAATGTCAACAACATTTGATTTCTTATTTATGTGGAGTTTTACATTGGAAAATTTCCAGGGAATATCAGATATATTATATTTATTAAAATTGTTTTGTTGTCTTTGTGTCTTTACAGCTGAACAAAGTTAATGCGATTGACTGTATCTTAATAATGAAGTTTGTCTAATAATGAGCACACAAACCCACCCTAAGTGATTCTAGTATAATAATCATAAAGTAAATGACAATTGTATTTGTTTCTGTAGGTAAAATAAAGTATTCAGAAGCTGTGTACGATGCTTGTATGGACTCATTTGACTGCTTGCCTCTAGCTGCTCTTATGAATCAACAGTTTTTATGTGTTCATGGTGGACTTTCACCGGAAATTCACACTCTAGATGATATTAAAAAGGTACCGTGCAAATATTGATCACTATTTTACAATTATATAATGTATAAATATGGTGTTAAGTGCAAAATGTAGTCACTCTTTGACTAATGGTCTACAAACAATTACTACAAACAATAACTATTGGAAAATGCGCTCATTGATTGTAGGGTACTAACATGTGTTCCTGTAAGTGTATAGAAAACATGGCTTTCAATTAAAGAGTTATCTTTTTTTAAAAAAAAATAGTATTTGAAGATATTTTCCACATTACAATTCTTTGGTAGAMACAYTTGAGATTGTTTGGGGGAAAACTCGAAAAAAGATCTCTCTCTCTGATAATTTAAAATCTTTTCTTGTTTTCTCCCAACAATAAAAGGTTTCTAGTAACACAGAAAATATCTTCTAATGCCTAAGTGCTAAATGTAGTCACTCTTTGACTTAGGTTCCATAAACATATATTGATCATTTTAATATAAACTATAACATGTAATATAATGTAGGTGTTAGATAAATTGAATGGCTTTAGGGGTTAAACCTATATAGCTATTAAATTGCAGTGGCTAGTCTGGCACTWGGCAAAGACAACAAGTAGAAAAATAAAAGTGATGATGCTTTAGAAGCTCACAATTAAAACGTCTCTGTAGAATGAACAATTCTTTCTCTTTTAGTCAGAAATAAGTTTTGCAGTCTTTGCAAAAACCGTTACACATCTCTATAGTTTTAATCTGAGTTCTTACRATGCATTCACTTAAATAAATAATAAAAAATTATACTAACTGTGGAGGTATAATGCATGAGTTATAATTATGGTGTCTATAACAAAAAAATATATATATTTTCAAAACAATTTGCAAAAAGGTTGTCTTGTGCTATCCATATTGTACATGTATATACCATGACTGCGTTAATATCAGATAACGGATATATGGGCATCCATTTTAAGATTCTAGGGACATTTCCAACTATGAAAACTCATATCTGTTAGTGTTTTTAATAGGGAAAAACAAACTAACTGTCACAATAATGTACCAGGCGAAGACACAGGAAACCCAACACATTTTTTAATGCTTTGTTAATCATAGATTTAGCGTGTACACTCAAGCAGACCCATAAGAAATTGCAATTACTCAGACTGTAGACAAGAGTTTAGTTCTTACCTTGGTGGGTTTCACTCATCAATTTTGATTAACACTCTCTTATTAATTGTGTATGATGACGTTTGCCTCAAGCATGGTCACGTAGCAATGTAAACGACATTCAGGCAAACAACCTGAGGGCCAAAATCTTTGTGTGAATAAAAATTTGTACTGTAGATTGAACTCAAAACTGATTTTAATACTTGGAAGTGTCCTCTGGATGACATACATAATATGCCAAAATAAAAAAGTCGCACAGCGCTTTGATATTTTATTGAGCAAAAATCATGATATGATATCGTCGATAACAATTTTAGTTGTTTCTATGCATTTGAATCCATTTTATCAACTTCTCAATATTTGACTTTTTGAGTCTCCTTTATCTCAGTATTGTGGCCTTTTGGTTTCCAAATAAAGACTGGTTGCAATTAGTATAATTTGTAAGAATAACTAATAAAAATAAATTGATGTTTCATTACTGACAAAATGAGTAAAGGCAATAAGATCTTTTTTTCTTATAAATAGTATTTAAATGACAGAATAAACCCTTTTAGCAATCTTTTTAACACTGTTTCAGCCTCAAAACTATGTACATAAATGTATTATAATTTTATTAAGTAACATCCCATGCAAATCCAAGAGATCTGTGAGTATAGAAACCAATGTAAATTGCTTGAAATCTCAAAATTTCTCCATATTTCAAATGCAACACAGTATAAAGAGTTACTTATGAAATTTGGTGTAAAAAAAATAAAAATGAGGTTATCAAAATTTGTTATTTAGTTTTATAACTGTATGCATTCTAAATAAGTATATCAAAATCTTTATGTCATGTATTAATAACGAAGTAAATCAAAAGAGAAATGTGTTTTCCATGTCTGATATTGCTGATGTCTGGATTGAGGATGCTTCAGGTTTAATTAAAGATATAATTTTTCAAATTCATGTCTGATTAGAGGGGATGAAGCAAAATAATAAACCGGCATTAGTTTTTGATATTTGATCTAAAATACATAGGATTACAAGTAATCCTATCTGTTTGAATTTTCTGAGAGTGAATTTTTCCTTTGGTGCAAGCGAAGAAAAATAATATTCACTGGTGAGCCTTGATATTTGATTCAAAATGAGATTACTAGCAATCCAATCAATGTGACTTTTTCTGGATAATTAATCGCACTTTTGAGACAAAGCATCTCAGTTTGTTTGTCATGTTGGATCGCTCATGAGTTTGGTCRCRATCTAACATCGTTATTTTGTCTGTAATTTGAGTTTTTTCCCAGCATTGAAACCCAGTGTTTTTTTTTTYCATTCAGTTTAAAGGAAATCCCTGGTGTATACATTGAACTTGTTCATTCAAATTGTACAAAATTAGTAMAGAAGTTTGGGACATGACTCAAAATTAGTTTAAAAAGGTGGACAAATTATATCTTCATTAGATTGTAATAAAAGTCATACCTAAGTACCCAAAGTCTCTGCAAGAAGAATTACGGCTAAAAATGGATTATTTAATAATAAATGCATATTAAACAGGGACATAMCATTGCCATGGCAGTTTTTTAGMGCAACAATCAAACAATTACAATTATTGTGCAGAAATGAAGSAATTTTCTCTTTAAATCTACCCTATTATTATCAACTAATTTTAATAAATATAAACCCCCAGGCATGCATCATTTTGTCTGTAAAATAAGCAGATTTTAAACCATTGTATCTATGTTGAGAGCAGTAAATACAGCTTTGTATACATTTGAGGTCTAAAAAATATAAGAAAGAATGAAGAGAAAGTGTCTGCTTCCAGAAAAAAATTTATTCATATCCAGTCAAAGGGCATGCTCTTATTTGTTGTTTTAAAAGAGTGTTTCAACTTATTGTAAATGCAGAAGTTTCACATGAGCAAGAAGCTCATTATTCTAAAGTCTTGTGAGGTGTGGCTATAATTTCAGCTGTATTGTTTTTGTACATGTGCTTATGACGCKAGTGGAGGTCAAAAACGTACAAAATTTCCATGGACTCAAAGCAGAGCAAAATAATGGGATATCTGACGAAAAAAAATAGTTAAGTTCCTAGAAAAGTGTTTTTATTTTACTTTTCCTTTGTATTWAATCTCTCAAATTTGCATTATTGCTCCTACTGTTTTTTCTTTCATGATTATTTTGTTTGTTTTAAAAGAAATTTCCCCGTGGTATGGCAAGTACAAATCTTCTAAATGAATATTCTTTTAAAATTYAAAAATTTTWTAAACTATTTCAWAAAGCAAACCAGTTTTCAACRTATAGTGGCTTCATACATTCAATTTCACACATATGTTGTCTCACAATTTTGACAATAGTTCTTTGCCAGTTTGTGCAAGATAAATATTAAATTCCTTATGAAAGCACTAATATGTTGACAGATGTTTTTAGTGCTACATTGTATACTCAAACTGAAATCATATTGTCTTCCCTAAAACCTAATATCTTCAAACAAAAGACACCAGTAGACATTGTGTTCGCTATCATAAAATTTGATCTAAATCTATAAACCAAAAAAAAGGATTTAGTTTTTTTAATACATTGTATAGTTGGTAGAATTGTGTTTTTCACTTGTAATGACCTGTTTTGCTATTCAAAATTCTAACATAACAATTTCACTTTGCTTTTTCACTTGCTGACAGAATTGTAAAGTGTCTGTGAATGTTTTAAATTTGACTTCAATTTTAACTAGTTATTTTGTTGAAAAGCAAGAATTAATAAAATTTCACTTTGGTTATGTTTCTTTCAAGACTACACAAAAATTCTGTGARTAATTTCAAAGCTCCAGTCTTAAAATTATTTTAATTATAACCTTAAAATCTTTGTCTTGTAAAATATAGAAAACATGCTCAATCAATGCTTTACATGTATATACATGTTTCAAATGTCACTTGTAATTCTTGTTTGGGTAATTCTATTTTAAGTCCAATTTTAACTTTGACTCTATTKTTATTTTAATATTCAATATGTAAAATTATTATGATCTTAATCCAGCTACCTGCACATTCACATTCATAATTGTGATMTAAACTCTTCATAACTTTTTAATGAGCTATATTTGGTGCTTATGGAATAAAGTATATTATTATTATCATAGGTTTTCCACAGCAATATAAGCAGTAAAGTATCTTTACGATTTATCTTATAAATATACATGGGGACCATAGTAAAGTGCTAGCTCTGTGGGGTTACCGTACTTTAATATGAAATACAGGAAACAAATAATTTAATGGACTTATTTCAATATGTCTCTAATTAGAGCCCGTATAATTATTAGTTTGGTTCCAATGAAAGGACAACACTAAAAGGACAAGTAATGAAAAATTTTCTTTAATTTTGGCAAATGTCTGAAACAGCCATTATCTCAACTATGTCAATAGATCTTCATGAGTTGATAAAAGGAAAAAAAAAAAATGCATTCTTTTTGACAGAATTTTTATCTCAACCTCTTAAGGTGAATGTAAAGTTCTCAACTCAAGACTTGTGTCAAGTTGCTTTTAAATCACCATTCCTTTGTGTCATAAGAGTGTACAGTGTTGTCCAGTCATTTTGATAACAATTATAAAAAAGACTCACATTCAGTCAAATGTCTTGTTGCTCAAGTTTGACCAGTCAAAGCATATATTTAAACATAAGAAAATGTGCTTTTGCTCAAAGATTTGACTTGTCAAACTGAAAAATTGGCTGACATTGTACATTAACTGACTTTTATGTTTTGTCCTTATTTGAATTACAAGAGCTACTTTGTAATTGCTAAAAATTAGTATAGACTGTAGTCTGTCTATTGGCAGTTTTTTTTTCTGTATTTTAAATCAAAGTACTGTGAAAATTGTTGTATTGTGTCTTGTTCATTTTATTGTCTCCTGACATCTTAGAGACAGAGCTTTTCATAAACTCATTTAGCCATTGGTTAATTTGTAGTGAAATAAATGGCAGAAAAAAAAAATACCAACCATTTCTTGTGAATCTCAAAGTCGCAAAGCAGCAGTTTCWGCTGTAACAGTTTGGTCCATTCTCTTATTCTTCACTAACTCAATTATGTCCCTTTTGACAGCTTGATCGTATAAAAGAACCMCCAGCATTTGGTCCCATGTGTGACTTGCTGTGGTCTGACCCTCTTGAAGATTATGGAACAGAGAAAACTTCAGAGCATTTCAGCCATAACACAGTGCGTGGATGCTCCTACTTCTATAGGTCAGTATCAAGAAACACTATATAATAGTTTCAGGCTTAATAGTCGCCTTCACAGTTACCTGCACCATCTTGAAAGGTAGGCATGCCTTTACATCGAAGCGAGACAACCGTTGAGCGTGCAATGATAGCTCTCTGTGAATATTAGTCTGTAGGTGTGAAAGAAGGTTTCTATCATTGCACTCTCAACGGTCGTCTTGCTTCGATGCAAAGGTACGGCTGCCTTTCAAGATGGCACAGAGAACCGTGAAGAAGACTATTAGACTTACTTAAACAAAACTGAAATATTTCTGGGATGTGTGAAGATGTGAGTCCATTTTTCTGTGGTAAAATTAATTAATTGAACAAATCACGACATTTTGAAGGATGACTGATAGACTTATGTTTACAGGTGAAGTTTATAGGTCTTTGTACAGCTTGCATGAGATTGTTTACTGTTTACATTGCTATTACACTTAGGCAGTCACTGCTTTATTCAAACWTCTGTAACCTTTTGACTCCTTTGGTATCATGACCAAAACTGTCATTCAGTCCATCTRCAAATGCTTTTTGGTTTGTCCTAACTCTAATTTTAAGAATAACCCCTTTTTTGTCTCTTTAGTTATCCTGCAACTTGCGAGTTTCTCCAGAACAACAATCTACTGTCAATCATAAGAGCACACGAGGCACAAGACGCAGGGTGAGTTTATCGTATTAGAATTATTATCTAGGGAATACCTATATTTCTCCATTTTCGTAAAGTTGATAAAATAACACAGTCAAGGTTTCTGGCTACTGGCTACAATCTTGAGAGATCTTTTCAACACTAGAAGTTAAAATCTGTATCTCTGTGCTCCCATGTAATATCCTCTATTTCTGCAGTACTATAATTTTAAACAGACATGGTGTTATTTAACAATTAGACCTCGAGGTCGAGTGGACTACAAGCTAATAGCCTGTGAGGCCGAGTTCGCCATTAGCTCATAGTCCACGAGGCCAAGAGGTCTAATTGTTTTAGTATAAACATACTAATCGGTCAAATAATGAAAACAAATTGAAATATCCTTAAAATAATTTATTAACGAGATGSCGGCATTTTGATTTTCCTGCGAGTGGTCTATCATAAATTAGACCATTAGTAGAGTAGCCAATCACAGCGCAGTATGAGTGATATCTGACCATTAGTATGTTTATACTAAAGACTGTTATGAAACCCAGAATTGCATTAGAATACTCCAATTTTGAGTTCTGGTTTGCTCTGTGTTAGCCTCAAAACCAAGTAACATATTCTTTTGTTTCATTGATAGCTCGAGAAAACGCATGGAATTTGAAACGAAAGACAATAGAATTGATTTGAAATCTCACACTTTTACGCTCACAACTAAGGAATATTAATTGCGCATAAGTGAGGCTAACACAGAGCATTGGAGAATTCGAAACTGGAGTATTGAATAAATGAGAAAAAAATCTAACATGTTTTAATTAACCAGATATCTTGATTTTGTCTTGTAATTTCAATATTTATTTTCTTAATTGTTTTTGATGTGTCTTTAGGTATCGTATGTACAGGAAAAGTCAAGCAACTGGTTTCCCTTCACTGATAACAATTTTCTCTGCTCCAAACTACCTTGATGTGTATAATAACAAAGGTAATATTGCTGCAGTAGTCACAGCTATCAAGAGACATAAGTCAAGAATACATAATGTCAAATGTTTGGAGCATGTCTGCTTAATCGTTTCACCAATTTCGCATTTTGTAGATGTAGCCATTTGTCTCTTAAAGCATTCTGAATGGATGTCCCATTGGTTGGTTCATTTTGACCTGCTCTTCGTCATCATCATCATCTTCTTCATTGTCATCATCTTAATCTTCTTTTTCCTGCATTTATCCAGAATGCCCTAGGAGCCAAAATGGCTCTTTTTTTGAAATACAAAATCATGATGCATTGTGGTCTAGTTTCAGTATAAACAATGCCATATTTGGCGGCATGAACAAAAGATGTTTGTACMGAATSTAGACCACAATGCAATGCAAACWRSTATCTCAGAAAAGACCTATTGTCAACATTCACAAGMCATTGCYTTTTTAGATGTGGAATAATAATAATTGACATCGTAGGTTCACATTCTCATTGATCAGAGCACATTCTTCATGACAGTTAAACTTTATCTGCATAGATCTATATAATAGTATGGTTAAAAACAGGAGTATCACAAGGATATTAATTATTATTTATTAGTTTATTATCTATTTTGTCAAAGGGTTCAATTGTTATGATATATTTCAACTTTGAAAGTCAAACCTTGTTCTTGCTTTTTTTTACAGCTGCCGTTCTTAAATATGAAAACAATGTTATGAACATAAGGCAGTTCAACTGTTCTCCTCATCCCTATTGGCTTCCAAATTTCATGGATGTTTTCTCTTGGTCTCTGCCATTTGTTGGTGAAAAAGGTATTTGGAGTGGATTGTGAAGAACTTTAAAAAGATCATACTAGATTGAATCGGTCTGAAACATCAAACATGATCCCDAAAAAATGTTCCTTGAAATTTGACTTTTTCTTCATAAAAGTACTTGGTATTTCCTGGACTTTTGTGAAGAAAATATAGCACAGATCCTGAATATTATATATGCCTATACTTTTYCCCTCACTCCAATGTTTCTGTTTTATTCCAGTTACTGAAATGCTTGTGAATATTTTGAATATTTGCACGGATGAGGAGCTAGAAGACCCAGAAGAAGATGCAGACAAGTCTGATTCTGTCAAAAGAAAAGAAGTCATTCGAAGCAAAATTAGAGCAATTGGTAAAATGGCTAGAGTCTTCACTGTTTTAAGGTACAATATACAATCTCTTTTTTGGCTTCTACTGTTCCATACCCCTCATGCCATGCTTTGGAAAGAAAAAGGCTATACTAACTTAGTCTACTAGCAAAAATCCAGCAGGCTTATAGCCATATGATTTCTGAGATGCAAATTGCTGATAAACATTTGGGGCAAGAGTAAAATCAAGCCGCTTTCTCTGCTTTGTTCTACTTCTTGGCTTCCTGTCTTCCACAATAAGAACAACTTACTAGAATAATCTGGCACAAAAAAATTCTTGGCTAGGCACAAAGTTTCCGCTTGGAAAGGATCATCCCAAAGAGGAAAATTTGGAGGCTAGTCTAGCACTAGTGCAATGCAAACAGTGCTTTCCTCAAACAAGACACATTGTAATGAATGTGTGGTTTTGTTTTTCAGGGAAGAGAGTGAAAGCATCTTACAACTAAAAGGATTGACTCCTACTGGTCATCTACCTGTGGGACTATTGTCTGGAGGCAAGACAGAGGTTAAAGCAGGTAAGAAAATCATGGTTTATTTCCTGGCCAAGTGGCTGATTTGGCTGCATGATGTGTAGTTTGTCTGCCAAACATTATCCTGTTCAGTCAATCAACCATTGAATCAATACTCCAGTTTCGAATAGTCCCCTTCGCGGTTAGGTGCGCCATCTTGAAAGGTAGCGGTGCCTTTACGTCGAAGCGAGACAACCGTTGAGCGTGCAATGATAGATACCTGTGAATAATTGTCTGTAGGTGTGAAAGAAGGTTTCTATCATTGCACGCTCAACGGTTGTATCACTTCTATGCAAAGGCAYGGCTACCTTTCAAGATGGCGCAGGTAACCGTGAAGGAGACTATTCTCTTAGCAAGCTTAGCTTCAATCAAGCATAAATTATTATTGTCTTCTTTGTACACAGTGTTTACATAACAATAGGATCTGAATATAGCACATGCTGCACAAATAAGATCTCGAAACTGGAGTGTTGATTGGCCTGTCAATCAATTATTTATATTTCTTAATTAATTTTTCTCACCAGCTCTAGCAGGTGTGGACCCTAAACATAAAATCTGTGATTTCCAAGAGGCCAAGGGACTTGATCGAGTCAATGAACGAATGCCACCAAGAAAGGACCTTCCACCACAGAACTAGGTACCGTTCAACATCTTTGACAATTTTCATATCTGTCTATAGACCTTTACAAGATAATCCATAAAGTATTCTAGAACATAATAGATCAAAAATAAGTAATACAATGTCAYCAGCTGGTCCAAATACAGTGCAAAATGATCAATGTTAAGGCAATGTTTTATGGTATTTGAATCCTCTGATAAAAGATACTGGCTTCTCAAATTTATGAATAAAAATTGGTATAAGTTGGTGCTGTCCTAATGCTCTATTTTTAGGCTTCCTTACYAAGGCTTATATACATCTTCAATTTTGTATACAATATTCACATGTTTTACAATACTGTCTACAAGCTATTGTTTATTTGAAGAAAATGTTACACAATTTTGAGGCAAGCCTCATTTTTAGCTAGGTTCTGGGTCTTCTATACTTCACTCATCCTCAAAACTGAGGCTTAACTTGAGCAAAATATAGAAACCATAGAAAGTGTTCCATCGGCAGCATGTAACAGGCTTTCCATACTCTTTCAATGTAGGAGCTTATAACCAAACTTTGTTCATAAATTTGAATGTGTAGTATCATATTATAAACACCATTACATGTGGAATTTCTTCATCATTCCACAAGTCTGAGTGACTGTTGACCATGCTCTAAACAGAAAACAAAACAACACAAAATGTCGATTGAATGACTGTTTATGGTTAAAGCATTTGACAGCAACCACTATGACTGGTGGTATTGTTTGAAGTGGTGATTGCAAACCAACAATGTTTTGTCTGGATCATACCAGCAACACTGTTTTGAACAACAAACCATGATAAGTGGTGTGGTTCTTGTACCTT